CTTTTTTATCAAAAAAATTGGGACTTAGTGGCTCCTACGGTCTATAATTTTCTTCTGCCTATTCTTTTGATTTCAACAAGACTTTCATTGTTCTTTTGCCGAAAGTAAAGCAACTCGAATCGGCCTCTCAATTTTGTCCAATTGGTTTATGCAATGTAGCATATAAAATTGTGACTAAGGTGATCATAAACCGCTTGAAACCTGTGCTTCCAAACCTAATCTCTAACACTCAAGCGAGTTTTGTTCTAGGTCGACAAATAACTGACAATATCGTCATCATGCAGTGGCAAAACCATAAAATTTATATAGAGGGGGCCATAATCATAAATTTCAGTTGTATTTCTTACTGTATATTTTAAAAGTTGGAATTTTAAAGAGAAAAATAAAAAGGTCATGTGCATTTTGCTAGGAAAAATGAAAATAAAAAAGAAAGATAAGAACATGAGGACAAAATGATGTATTTTTTGTTCAAATCCAAAGAAAGCAATATAAATGTTCTTTGCAAGGATCGAACACACCTCAGCAAAAAAGCTCTACACTATTTACACCTCATAGAAAACCTACTTTGCCGAGTTTACCACTACATTTTTTTATTTTACAATTAATAGAGTTTATCATTTACAAGGGTGGCCATGGCTACCCCCAGCCACCCCCCTAATTCCGCCACTGTCATCATGCAAGAAGTCTTACACACTATGAGGAGGAAGCAAGGAGCTAAAGGATATATGGCCATCAAGATCTATTTTGAGAAAGCTTATGATAGGCCACTACAAGAAATAATCTTGATTCCGACGGTTTTTTTCCGTCGGAAACACCGGAAAATCCGCCGGAAAACGGTCTTTCGACGGAATTCCGTCGAAATCAGTCTGTCGGAAAACCCTTTGTAGGAATTCGACCTTTTCCAACAAAATTTCCGTCGGAAGACCGTTTTCTAACGGAATTTCCAATGGATTTATTCTGTCGGGCTGTTTTTTACTTCCGACGGAAAATTCCGTTGGAATGTACCTTTTCCGACCCACCACCCCCACCACCAGCCCACCCCCTACCCACAAAAAAAACCCACAAAAACCCCGGAACACAAACCACCCACCACCACACATACCCCCTATTACCACAACACCACCGACACCACCACAAACCGAAACCACCCCAACAGCAGCCCACCCCAACACCACCGACACCACCACAACCCCACCCAAACCAAACCCCAAAAATAAGGAAAATCAATCCCACAAAACCGAAAATTAACCCCAAACATACGAAAATTAACACAACATAATAAAAAAAAATACCACACAAAAAAAATCAAAACCAGTAGATCTACAAATTAATCAGAATTTCATTAAAAAAAATTCAAAAAACCAAAAATTAAACTTTGAAAATCAAAAGAAATATATAAATACACAATTGTCTAATAAATTTTATAAACTAACATTACAATTACATACAAAATTCACTAGATCTACACTCAAACCTAAATTACAAGATCTACAAAAACAAAAACCTTGAAACAGGTGGCTGGCGACGGTGGTTGTTGGCTTTGTTGTCGTTGTTGCGGTTGATGCAGTTGTTGTTGATGGTTGTTGTTGCAGTTGATGTTGATTGTTGTTGTTGATGGTGCGTCGTAGAAGAGGAGAGGAGAGAGAAAGAGAACAAGAGAGGCGAGAGAGAAGAGGACAGGAGAGAGAAAGAGAAGAAAAGAGGAGATCAGAGAGGAAGAGAATGAAGGAGGAGAGGAGATCAGAGAGGAAGAGAATGAAGGAGGAGAGGAAGAGAATAGGAAAGAGGAGAGGAGAGAGAAAGAGAAGAGAGGCGGAAGAGAGGAGAGAGAAAAGAGAAATGAAAGAGAAATTTACTTTTCCGATGGAAATTTAATGTTCCGATGGAATTTTTCATCAGAAACTTCCGACGGATTTTATTTCCATCGGAAATTGAATGTTCCGACCTAATATTCCGTCAAAAAGCCCATATATTCCGACGGACTTATATTTCGTCGGAAGTTTCCGACGAATTTCCAACAGAATAAAAATCCATCGAAATTTCTGACTTTTCCAACAGAAATTCTTGTCCGTCGGAAACAGTCCGTCGGAAATCGGCCTATTTCTAGTAGTGGGCTTCGGTAAAATTTCATTAGAGATACACTTGTTCAAATGAACCTGCCCATTACGATGATTGATATTATTATGGAGTGTATCAACACCGCTTCCCTTCGTGTCTTATGGAATGGTGAACCATTTCAAAAATCAAACCAAGTAGGGGAATATGACAAGGGATCCACTTTCTCCCTATCTTTTTGTCATGTGAATGGAGCGTTTCTACCAAGTCATTGAAGAAGCTATTGCTCATGGTCATTGGAAGCCCATTTGTGCAAGTTGTGATGCTCCTACCCTTTTAAATTTATTCTTTGCAGGTGATATAGTCTTGTTTGCGGAAGCAAGTGTCAGTCAAGCAGAGCTTATTCATTCTTGCCTTTCCTGATTTTGTACTGCCTCGGGTCAAAAAGTGTCTCTGCATAGGTCTATGGTGTACTTCTCGAAGAATGTCTCACAATCGGACCAAGCAGAAATTGGAGCGGCTTTGGGGATGGAAGTTACTGATGATATGGGCATGTATCTTGGGATGCCTACTCTCTCGAGTAGGGTCACAAGAGAAACTTACAGTCATCTATGTGAAAAAATTGATCGTCGACTTAGTGGTTGGAAGTCTAAGTACTTGTCTTTGGCTGGTCACATCACTTTAGCCAAGTCTATGCTCTCAACAATGTCTTTCTATTCGATGCAATCGGCAAAAATTCCTCGTACTATTTATGAGGATATTGACAAGAAAACTAGAAGGTTTATTTGGGGAGGTAACGAAGACAAAAAGAAAATTCATCTCCTTTCTTGGGAGATGTTGCAGCGACCTAAAGTGCTAGGTGGAGTGGGTATTGTATCGGCTAAACAAGCAAATGCAGCATTTCTCACCAAGATCGGCTGGCGTATTTTGACCGAACCAAATGCCCTTTGGTCGCGTATTCTTAGTGCCAAGTATTGCAAATGGCTGAACAAAGGTTTACGGACTGCCATAGGGAATGGTGCGCAAACTCTCTTTTGGAATCACCTATGGGCCACTGATAAGCCGCTTAGTGATCTGGCTATTGAGCCCGTCCCTTTAGAGTTGGCTGGGGCAACTGTGGAAGAGATGTGGGTAGAAAATCATGGATGGCGATGGAATGTTTTTGCGCCTTTCTTGGATGCAGATACTCTCAAATTAATTCAACATCACGAGGTTCAGCTTCACCCAACGGTGGGGGATTTAATTTATTGGAAGAGCGATTCTAAAGGTAAATTCACCATTAAATCGGCTCTTACTATCATGAGGCATGAAACTGATTTTCTAGATGAAGACTGTTGGAACTTAGTGTGGAAAGCTCCGGTTCAATAACGTATCCGTTCTTTTATATGGCTAGCATGCCATGATAGAATACTTGGAAATCTGAATCGGTTTAAGAGGCAACTAGTTGATGATCCTAAGTGCTTTATATGTGGTCACAATGAAAAGAGTACCCTCCATATTCTGCGAGATTGCCGAGCAGCCAATAGAAATTGGAGAAATTGCTATGTCTTCAATAGAAGTGAGGAAATACCAGTTGACATAGGAGCATTTATTCGAATCAAAGTAGATGAAGCGTTTCGAAGCATGAACAAACATGATGATAAGAACTCGAAGGCTATTAAGCATCAACGATATATTTCCTAGCAGCCCCCTAATTATGGATGGTATGTCCTCAATTGTGATGGTGCAGCAAAAGGAAGTCCGGGTCCAGCAGGGGTGGAGCTATAATAAGAGATTATGAAGGCAATTTCATCTCGGGTTTCTCTGCAAATTTTGGGAGGTGTTCAGTGTTTAGAGCAGAAGTATTAGCCCTCACTCGTGGGATAGAATTGGCAAGAAATCTACAAATTGAATGCTTGGAAGTACAACTTGACAATTTGGCTTGTGTACAAATTCTGAGGCAGGGGACAGCTCCTAAGGGTGAGAGTGTACATGAGATCACTCAATGCATTAATATGCTGAAGAATGACACTTGGGATATCAAAGTAGCTCACATATTTCGTGAAGGAAATCGCACGGCGAATTGGTTGGCCAACCGCAGAGTCACTCAAGACACCGATTTAGGTATTCTTAATTTTATTCCTTTAGGCCTTAGTAATATTTTGGAGGAGGATGTTAGGGGTGTGGCATTCCCACGCCTAGTACCTCTGTAGTTGTGTTTTTTCTGTTTGTAGTTGTAGTAGTTTGCTTGTTTTCTTTCTCTTGGCTTGGCCTCATTTGAATCCCAAAAAAAAAAAAAAAAAAAAAAAAAAAAAAATTCTAGTAAATGAGTAAAAGTCATACGATCAAAAAATTAAATTAACTATTGTAGCCAAATAGAACAAGATGAACAATAACTTAATTGTAGTAGATCCCAACTGTAGTGTCTTCATGGATGATCCAGTATCCCAGATTCCCAGGTTAACTAACAAAATGAACTTCTAATCTTCATACCAATTAAGTTTAGGGAAAAGATTTAATAACATTGATTCTCATTATTATTTTAAGCTATTTATATATTAGCAACATCGATTCTAATATATCGGAGTAATACTATAGGAACTTGTTTTCCTAAATTCCTAATAACACACAAACTAAAAGCTTAACCAATTGGTTGTTGGTGTAGTGGTGATTGGGATTACACTTGGTAGGGAAGACTACGTATTCAATCCCCCGCAACAACAATTGGGAGGAGACTGGAACCTAACTACCCAGAACTTATCCTCGACTCCGGATTAGTCCAAAAGGGTGAATCGGGTGGAACACCAAAAAAAAAAAAAAAAAAAAAAAAAAAAAAAAAAAAAAAAAAAAAAAAAACTAACTAAAAGCTTAATTGAAATTACATAAAAACTAACGAGATATCCTTGATGAAAATGAAGGAGTCAATTGATCATCCAGTCAACCAATTCTTTTTATTGCATTAGAACTTCAATAAGCAACTTGTTTAAATCTCACTCAAACTTGGAAAAAATCTTTGCAGTTTAAACATAACTTTAGTTTATTTCATTTGTCCACCTTATCAAATATAGCTTGATCAAGCTTAAACTCGACTTGATTTGACTCAGACTCAATAGTAGTAAGTTTGTAACCCTACACAAATTAAAGAGACCAAACACTAGTCACCCTTACATCACATAAAGGTCCAATATAGTGATTATAGGGAAAATTAAATAGAGCAAAAGCCCAAAATAATGGACAAATTAAAAATGGTAATGGTGACCATGATGATGACCATGGTGGTGATGACCATTATGATTTCCATGGTGGTGATGACCATGTTGATGACCATGGTGGTGGGAATGTGAAGAATGTAGCTCATGTTTGGCTTCATTCTTTTTTTGGTGCTCGTACATAGCGAAACCAGCAGCACCAACCGCAACCGCGGCTGCAATCTCTTCATTCACTCTGTGTTGGTGAGCATGCTCTGGGTCTTTCTTTTCCTCATGTCTCTCATACTGTATAGCACGAAAACAAAGATTCGTTATACAACCAAATTAAGTACTTTACTTAAAAATCGATTCTTTTTCGATATGTTTAGCTATTGCACTCTGATTTTTACACTATTTTGAAATCGTACATTGATACATAGGCATAATCATTACAAATTACACGAGAATCAACTTTTTGAAAGATTAATTGATATGTATTCCCTCTGTCCCATAATACATGACACAGTCAAACATTGCACACATGTCAATACGCTAGTTTGACTTTATTTTATATAATTAAATATTAATGAAAATTATTTTTAAAATTATATTATGAAACTTTATATTAAAATCCATCTAACAACATATTTTATGATAAAATATATTTTTATTATGTTAGTAAAAAATTGTGGTCAAACCTAATGCATGAATAGTGGAAAAAAGTCCAACATCTCATGTATTATGGGACGGAGGGAGTAATTAAATTAGGTGACTAAGTCTACTATATTACTTCTTAGAATAATCTCATAACCATACATAAAACCTAAGCAAAACTACCTACGTCAAATTATATTATACACAATAAAAGTGTATAACTATTTCAATTATCTCAGACTAGGAATCAAAGGAGGATTTTAAATTAGCATATACTTGGGAAAAGGAAATAACTTTTCAAATCAAAGTTCCAAGATTCACCCATATACATCATAAATAATTGATGAAATTAAAATTTTTAATTTGTTTCGTCTTTGTTGAGTCAATTTATGTACAAAAACATAACAATAATCACTTTAAAAGATGCCCTTAAATTCCAAAACAGTAAATCTAAATAATCAAAAGTATTAATTAGAAAAGATGTAAATTGAACGATTCATGTCAATATTTGTAACAACCAAAAAATAAATTAAGCCAATAATAATTGGTAAAATTTTAATTTGTACAATAATGCATCCTTAAGCCCTTACCAAGGCATAAGCAGCAGCAGCAACGGCAGCCGTCTCACCAATACGCTCAAGGGTGTTGTGATGCTTCAGTTTCTTCTCGGGATCGACGTGTTTGTTCTCATGATGGTGGTGACCGTGGTGGTGGTAATCCATAGTGTATTAGTTGAGTTTAGAGGACTGTATACTGGAGTAATTGTAAAGGCAAAAATATAATCAAAGACAAATTTTTATTTATTGGCTATTGAGCTTTTTTTTTTTATAACGTTTATATAGGCAGGCAGGCTGGAAATACTTGTAGGTTAAGAAAAATTTCGTTTGATGAATTTGTTAAGAATTAGCGTGTAAATAGGTACAGACTACGGACGTACAGATGATGTTTTTATTATCCGCGTTAATTTGCTAATAAACGCCCTCGAGCATTAGATAAGCATTTAGAATATTTTCTAAAATAGTGTTAATTTGCGAATGCATGTCAAAATTACGCGTCAATCAGTGTAATTAATGTTCATTTTAATCTAATATTTCTACTTTTAGTTATCTTATCCAACGCTCTCGAGACGTCTGTTAGTTTTTGCCTATATCTAATAGTATCCAAATTCTTAACTACATTCATTATAATTATGAGTAATTGATATTTTTCTTAATATGTGATGGTCCAATGCCTTATCCCCACTGCCACATCACTAGAAGTGTTCAAGTACAAATTTATCATATCATATACTTTTTTTTTTTGTTTTTTGAATAATATCTATCATATACATGATACACTAGTAATTTCCAATATTTATCATATCATATTATTCATATACCAAGCTAAGATTGGTTTAGTGGGAAAGATTGTACCTTTCAACCTTGAATTTGGGGGTTCAATCCCATTAGAGGCACTTTGAGGGTGGGGATCCCTTATCCTTCCCCCCTCAATAGTGTCTGACCCGCAAATACCGAATCAAAAAACCGTGAGGGTTGAGGTTTGGTCATGGTCCTTCTCCTTACCAAAAAATTAAAAAAATATAGTATTTATTAACTATTACTAAAACAGGCCATGATGACATCATTAATAGACACACGTCAATTTCTTATAGAAAAAATATCCATCTAAATTATTTTTGACATCATTCTTTTTTACCCTATTTTTCTCCTCCTAAGTTCCAAGACTAATTAATTGTTTCTTTCAAAAAAAAAAATTCAATGAGATAGGACTACACATTCTTCAAATAAAGAATAATAACTTCACTATTTTAAGCAAACAGTAGCTATTTAATTCGTGCAATGCTAAACATTTGTAGCCGTGTCCTTTTCTCTCTTCTCCCTCCTCCATCCTTTCTTCTCTAGGGTTTTAGTTTTCTTGGCTATTTAGGCCGAAAATAGTCTAAGAATAAATTAGACTATTTCCGACCCTTTTCCTTTAATTTAATTCAGTTTTTTGTTTGGTTTGCTTTTTGTTTGTTTTGCTTTGTTTGTTTCTCTCCATTTGTGAGAGTCCGTCCCAAATTTTTTTTGGGTTTTTACCAACTTTTTGGGATTTTGATTCTCATCTATGGATGAGAACTTTATTTTTAGGTTCTGATAATAATTGGGGAGGTGATTTTAATTCATATGGATTTAGGGTTTGTCATCAACTTTACGGTCAAAACATTAGCGCGGATTGCGAAGGTCTCTACTAAGAAAGATGTAAAGATATCGAAAATCACTATTCGCGTCAAGTTTGAAGCGGTGGAGGGGGAGCTATGTCAAATATGCGAATTAGTTATAAAAAAAATTGTGTAACGCACGAGACTAACCTAGTATGGAGTATAATTATATGACAATCATTGCTCATAAATTTATGCTTAAGTTTATTCAAAAAAAAGAAAAGCTTATGTAATTTTAAAGGACACTACTCGAAACATTGGAAATATTATAAAATTTAGAGGTGATCACGGGCTGGGTCAGGCTTTGCCCGAAAAAAAAAAAAAAAAAAAAAAAGTTCGACCCATTTCGGGCCAAGCTATGCTAATATCAACCTCTTTTCTTAAACATTAGTCCTCAACCTTTTCTTCCACATAAAAAGAAAAAAATTAAAAAATAAAAATTAAATAAAAAGTGGCCGACCACTATTAAAATTTGTCCTATATAACTTGTTCTATTCCATATTTCCATGTGCTAAATTGTAAATTGAGACCGGAATGAAGGCTACATTCAAGACCAGAAAATTAGATTTATGTGTGACAAATATTTCCAAAATAAAAAAAATATTTGGCAAACTAAAAAATACTTCAATATTCATATGTGAAAAGGCCAGGCCAAAGGAGATTATGACAAGCTGGCAATATTGGTGGAAATTAGGAACATCTTTATACGGAGTATTATAGATCGATTTTATAACTTCATTTAAGTACCTGTTAAAAAAGTAACAAAAACAAAGACATAAAAAGAAAAAAATTAAAATAAAACCTTTGTTTAAGTACGGTTAAATAACCTCATTATTACCAATTGGTTGTTGGTGTAGTGGTGATTGGGATTACAACTTGATAGGGAGGACTACGCGTTCGATCTCCCGCAACAACAATTAGGATGGGATTGGAACCTAACCATCCAGAATTGATCCTCGAATCCGAATTTGTCCAAAGAGTGAAGCGGGTGGTACAAAAAAAAATAACCTCATTATTACGAAGTCAATTCTCTCCTCTCCTCTTCTCTCATCCTCTCTTCCTTTCTTCTAGGGTTTTCGAATTTTTAAATTAATGACTTAATTGGCATGTCACATCATACAAGAATTTGTTTCGCAATTCAGACTATTGAATAGATTACAATTAACAAGTGTTTATCTATGATTGATTTTGACCAAGATTGAATTGGTGTTTTATAATCCTCGATAATTTTCGCTTTTAAATCCCTTTAAAATTTGTATTTGTACAAACGCAATTATTTTTTATAGGGTTATAATCTAGATTTGAATACCCCTTCATTTATAGAAGTTTCACGTTTGAAATTTTTTAAAAAAATTATTTGTTATTACTCATACTAAACCATTGAGGTTTTAAAATGCATTTCTTAAAATTAAGATTATTGTAGGACAATTATAACCTCAAGTGCAAAACAAAATAGTAAGGATTATAAACTTAAACCGAAAAAATGAACAACTTTATGGACTATAGGAGAACAAAAAAGAACAAGCTAAGACAAATTACTTGTTTGTAGACTAATGAGCTTTGTTTAGCTCATGAATTGATAGTTCTTTGTTTGCTTAGCTCGTGAATCTTGAATTATGATCACTAACTATTTAGTCTTAACAAAAGCATTACCATTATGATGCTTTTAGTTGGTGAAATCTTATCATGAGTGATCTACTTTCTTTACACACTAATTAATCCTTTATGCTTCTTTTAATCTTATTCTTATTTGAGGACAAAACTATACATTAGATGTTTAATCATCATCAACTTGAACTTTTACTCTAGTTATCAAATCCATAAGAGTTGGACAAAATTGCTATCATGATAAGTACAATAATTCAAAGAAAATTAATAAAATTATTATTATTATTTTTTTAATAAAATAAAGTTACCCATATTTCTATTATTATGAGGACACAATGTTTTAACATAATATTCCTCAAAAAAAAAAAAAAAAAAAACAAAATGTTTTAACAAACTAAAATATATATTCTAAAATTAATACATCGCATACTTATTACTAATATATTATGTGGCTAATGACTAAACAAAGATGGTTTATTTATGATGAAACATTCCAACACCTTTATTATTTATTTCTTTACTATTTTTTCTCTCTCTTTTGATTCCCTCTTTTTTCTCTTATCCTTATAATTACTGTCTCTATTTCTATTTTCTTAATTTAGCTTTCGTTTTCTCTCCTTATATGCCCCCACCAAAATGTACCTTGAATAACAAAAACAACACTTTGAACTAAACCAATAAAAAGCAGAGTTTTTTTCATCCAAGCAAAGGCTAATTTAGTAAGTTCATATACTCTTTAATTTTTTTTTTCTTTTGGCCTTTGACTACTTACCCCATATAAGTTTATAATACATTTTATTTTATATATATGTAAGTTTTTAAAAAATATTATTTCAAATATTTATTTGTATTCATTAATTTGCCATAGAAATCGCTTAGTACGCCAAATGTTCCACTCTCGTGAACTAGCTTTTGGCTCATGCTTTTAATATTATTTAAGACATCGATTATTATTATACTTAGTACATTATTATATAAAAATAAAATAAAAAAGTAATAGAGAATTAGTACTATCTCCGTTTCATATTTTTTGCAACTTTGAAATATTCATCATTATATAAAAATAAAAAAGTGATAGAGAAGATACACAAAAATATTATCCTTCATTTTTTTTTTAATAAAGTAAAATACATGGACTAGATTAGGAACGTCTTTTTACAAGATCGTGTCCTAATCTATCTAAAAGTATAAAATAAGAAAACTTGTTGTCCATAAAAGAATTTATATATAATCATATGTTTAAGGTATACTTGTTGTATTTTATAAGATAATATCTTTACAATACCTTTATCTATCTTTTCAGATATCTCTAGATAATATTCAATGTAACAAGAAGAAAAAAAACATTTTGATTTCATTCCTATATAAAAATTATTTCTATATAAAATTCCTTTTGATTTATTAAATAAAAATCCCTTTTGAATTATTACCTTTTGTTTCAAAAAAAAAAAAAAAAATCTCTTTTGACTTATTAGATAAAGAAAAATCTCCCTTTAATTATTAGTAATTAATAAAACCATTGAAAAAAAATATAGAAATAATTTTATTGGAAAAAAAAAATCAAAAGAGATATTCTTCACAATCACAAAAACTATGTGGGGGAACAAACCGTGTGGGACAGTGATCATTAGGCGAAATGAACGCAATTACAAACCTACTTTTTGTTGATAAGTATATTAGGTGACTCGTACTTCGTAGCTTTGTCCGCCCGATCGGGCGGACATTGCCCGGTCTGACCGGGCGGAAGAAGAAGAGGTGCCTGGCAAATTCGTTGAAGAAGCTGCTCTCGCGCCCGACCGGGCGAGCCTTCGCCCGATCGGGCAGACCTTGCCCGGTCTGACCGGGCGGTGGGGGTTGGATACGTTGAAGCATTCGTATGGAGTTTTCTTCTCGCGCCCGATCGGGCAGACCTTGCCCGGTCTGACCGGGCGGAGAAGGAAAAATACGGAACGCGGATTTTGCGGTTTTAGGTTATCTTATTTTATTATCTTTTTGCCCAAGTATCTTTTAATTAGGGATTAATATAAAACCTCCCTAATATCAGTATTAGGGTGAAGAGAGACAGAGTGAAAGCCGTTCTTGAGAAATACAAGAATCATCTTTGTAATCTTTGCAGTTTATAGTGAAATCATTCGATCTCGGTGCCCGTGGACGTAGCTATCA